AGATTTTTTTAATACGAATTTTAATTGTACACAATTGTACTTCGGTTATTAGTTATTACATAGCGTTTATAAAAATAATTTAGGTATAATTCATTAGGCAGTTTCGTTACTAGGGGGAGGAATTCAAATGGATAAGTAAAATAAACCAAATATGAAGACATAAAAAATAGGACATACTTATGATAAGGACTTTTTTGCGGGCTGTAATAGATTTTTAAGAGCGCTTAAGATATCAAAAAAAAAAACTTGTGGAATAGTAGTTAACAACTTCTTATTTTTATGAGGATTTAATATAAATTTGGATAAAACATTTTGACAAATAGTTCTGCCTTTGCTTTGGAAAAAGGGATGATTAAATCTGCCGTGACATGTGCATAAGAGCTTTTTCTAAAATTGGTGCCAGATTATTATTTCTAAGTTTTAGCAATTTTTTTTGTTCACATTTTTATTGAATTGTCTCTGGTTTCAGATTTTGTAAAAACGTATGTGACTATATAATTGCCTGCCGAGGTATTTATTTCACTTTCAATAATTTCGTAAACGTCTACTATCCACAAGTTACAAGTTCTACCCCATAATGATCATAAAAAAATGTGCTTATCTTGTTAATCATTGCCTTTGTGAGAATATTGATAAAAAAATAATGCAAGTGAATCATTTACATATTTAAGAGAAACTGCATTGGATAAGGCATATTCAGAGGTAGTAAAATTGTGTGAATTAGGGTAGAAAATTCCAGTTACTAGTGCCTCTATATAACGTAGTTTTACCGCGCTTAAATGCATAAATAACTACTTGTGAAATTTGACAGGATAAGATCGACTTACCAATGTATCTTTATTAGCAATTCAAAACAATTTGTTACAGAAATGGATCGAAATTGGCCGATTTTGCAAATCGCCAAGTTTCGTTTCATTTGGTACTTTTTCTTACCTCGAAGTTTAAAGCATGTTAAAATTGGCTACTACAAGGTGAAAAGGGTGTAAGTCGAAAATATAAAATTTTCAGGATAAGCTGTTGTAACTTTGGTGATTTCTACGCCTCAGTTGGTGACCCAGTTAACCCACTTTCTTCAGCTTGTTAAATGCCAATATATTATTTGAATGACTTATAACGTTTTCTGCAAACATACAAATCATTATGATCTATTCAAATAAACACAATACCGGTTAAAATGGACTTATACCGTTTTCACCCTGCAGTAGCCAATTTATGTTAAATTTTTCGATTTGTATGTCTATTTACTGGTCTAAATGTTTAATAATTAAAAATTATGAGATACCTATATTTTAGAATGTCTAAAATAATTTCTGTGAAATGTAGATGAGCTACTTGCATTTTTAGACAGTTTTTCAGCTCTACAGCCGCGACTGCATACAACTGAACAGTTAATCGGGATAAAACAGAGATAACATAGATATAACCATTCATTGATAAAATATTATATTCATGATGCCAAGATTAATTCGACAATCAATACGCTCTATTTATAGGTCCGCGGCGAGGAGACGAAAGGTGAGAAGTAAGAGAGGGGATAAAGAGAAGAATTTTTCGCAGATACAACTTTTTTTATCAATGAATAAATGTGTAAGCCGCTGTGCGCTTATAATAAACAACGTAAATATCCATGCCGGTGTAAGCCCTGTTGCCACAAACATGACTAGATTTTGGAATTTATTGAAAATGATTACATCTAATTTAGTGAAATTATATCTAATTTAGTGAAATTATATCTAATTTAGTTAAATTTGATATAAAATTGATATGATTCAAAATTTTTTGGGTCCAGTTGCGATAAAATAGGTTGACATATTTTAGCTTTTTTAATATATGTAAATAATTTTGTAAACAAAATGAGAATAATGAAATAGGCATATGACAGCAGCGGATATTTTACCCGCCTGTGTCCCTTAGAATATGTCTTATTCAGGATCGCACGATATTTGTGTCAGTAATTACATCTCCTGATATCTCTGTGATAAACAATGTGGCCGCAAAAATCTGACACTTTCCTGACTTAATTACTAGAGAACGGGGTTCTTTGCAAAGAAGCAGTAGCATGTCTTAATAATAACGGACGTCATTTAGAACAAATTATTAGAGAGTTATAGCAACGCTAGATACGTATGCGTATCTCTCTGACGTAAACGTAGAAATTGACGATACGTTAAACGAGCAATCTGGAAGAAAACTATAGTTAAAGCAAAAGCATTGACGTAAACGTATCTACAACTTTATAAACTTAGGTACTTTTTGAGAAAAGTATTGACAGTTACATTGAGTAAATTATGAATTTAAGGGCTTTAAATGATGAAGCTTTAGATGATGCTGTAGTATTACAAATTCTACATAATAAAGAAAATTTGGAAAATAGTAATGTTTTATGTGGGAGATTCAATTTTAATAATCGACATAATTAGGATTGGTAGAGCTCCTGGTATGGTAGATACAATTATAACAAATGATCGAGTATCAATGTCCGGTAATTTTTACTAATTCATTTTTTCAATGAACTTTCTTGGAATAAATTTGGTATGTATATTATATATGAAACTCGTTGCATCTTGTGGCCCAAAATTTTAAAAAACAATGGAAAGTTACAATCTGTCATTAGTTTTATTAAATCGTGTGCGATCGTATGCTCCCGAAGCATTTGCTCGGCTCGATACGAATGCGTATTAGGCGTACGTGTTCTTACGTCGGACGTAAACAGATACGTGGGAAAAATAGATATTGCGCATGCGTAGCTGTCATTAGATACGTATACGTTTCTGGCATTGCTTTAACTCTGTATTGGAGTGTAGTGTTTTCCGTCTTAAGTGCGCATTATGTTTTATTTTCGTTACAAATTTTTACTAAAATAGACATACATGGTTTTCGTATTTTTATCTTAACTGCATGTTTGTTTTTTAGGAAGTTATACAATGTTGGATACATATGTTTTATTAAAACATATTTTTTATAAATTCTATAACGAATTTTGTGGAATGCGGATATTTTGAATATCATTCATAAAAGAATTGGGTTTCGCGTGATTCGTAGCCAAAACTTTTGAATTTACCGTCAAACGTGCTAACCACTACGTCACAGGACGCGCGAAACATCCTCAGCCTTTTTAACTACGACAGATAGGACTTCCTGATTCGTAATTTTATTTGATACCATTAAGTTTTACTAAACTGAAACGTTCTATTTGCGTACTTAGGACAAATTTAATTAGTAAATATAGATTGGACAAAAATTCTTAATAATTATGTTGTTTTTGGTAGATAGGACGAAACTGAATTTAAGAAACAAGTGGTTTATGTTGTAGTTAGGACGTTTTTGCACAGGAAAACAGTTATAGATGCATATATGCATCGCAAATATACCTTTAACTCAAAAACTGAAAGTTTGTCAGATAGGACGAGTCAGCTTAGCAGGGCAGAGTAGTCGAAAAGAGGGGAAATAGACTCATTTTTAAATTTTAGAATGCACTACTAAAAGTGTATTGCGTCCACGTACTCCCGCAGAAGAATATTATAAACTATATGTATAAATAATTAATACTAACGCATTTTACTCAATAAAAAAATGCATTTTAAACAATTATTAAATAAAAATGAGTCAAAATACAGTTTCAGATTTTTTAGTAGTTACCTACTGCAGTTTTTAAAATGTCATAAAAGGTATAAACATATTTATAGCTCACAACCTATTACCATTTTTTTTGCATATATTTCGTGTTTCAAATGCCAAGAAAACGTGTTTGTATTACAAATAAAAACATAAATTAGTTATTAAAGAATTTTATAAATCATAATTATTACAGTTAACATTCCTGACATTTGGAATATCAATTAAATTCTGACAAATTACGAACCATAACACATATTCTAGGTCAAAAAATGTTCTAAATTGAAAAATAATTAATTCAAACAGGTAAAGGTTTTATCGGATGTTTCCAAAATTAATTTTTTGTCTTTCCGCTTTCTAAAAATCATCCTAATTTATTAATAGTTATAATTGACCACATCTGTTATATCTAAATATTTGCTCCGACAATAAATAAGAAGGTGACCTCATTCTGATTATATCATCTTTCATACCATTTCTGAAAAATTGCCCACATATTATTTATAGACAATGTTCATTTGAAAAAATATGGAGCACTTAAATATATAGAATGTAGCTCAAATTATATGGGAGTGATCCACAATTTTTTTCTTAAATAGGCTTATGAAAAAATCACGCATGTCGGAGCGTACATTTCTTTTTTCAAATGTGTTCAAAAGGAACACAAATGTAGATGAAAAAATTTTTTTGTTATTAAAAAGGAAGTTTTTTTATATACTTACCTGGTCAGCAAATGCAAATTCACACACACGCATGCTTTATCTATATAAAAGGTAAAATACATCATCATCAAATAGACAAACATAATTTACTCAATTTAGTACGCATAATAAAATCTTTCTATTTAGCAAAAATTAAAAATACACAACACCAAATATTTTTCACTACCCCCTGAATGTCACAGAAATTAGGCATGCTAAATAGAGTTGTCAATAAATGACTTAAAATTGCACGAACCCTTTAAGATATTATTAGTGTTAGTTATTAATAAGCGTAATTGGAAATGGTTTATTATGTAGTTTAAAAAAACAATTCTTAATTTTAAGTCTAAAGTTACATTTACTATCAGTGGAAACGATTTTCTACAAAGGACCTTTAAATCAGATGTCCATTTATCTTTGGTGTGGATAATCTATGGTTTTAGATCACCTCAGCTTTTCCATATATGTTTGTGGATTAATTGGATTAATATCAGCCATGTACAGAGTTTAACAAAAAAGATTATAGAGTAAGAGAAATGGAGAACCTTGAGAAACACCTTGATACATTACAAAACTTGTTTTATTAGGAAAATCGGGTATTGTGTATAGTAACCCCTCAAATGCTTGTTTAATATCGACGAAAACTACCGCCGACTTAGATATTAATATATTTGTATATTTCAGGTATTTTATACGAATCTTGTGTGAACTACTGCCAAGCTAAAGCTACGGGCGGCTCGGACGTCGCGTCGCACGATATGAACTTCAGCAAACTATTAGACGGTAGTGTCGGTTTTAGTGACTCGGACTTAAGTTTACTCTCTTGGCTGCAAAGTGTACCGCCCGAGACGTTTTCCGTGCCCTTCGAGCAGCGCACCCTTAACGTAGACGTAGAAAAACTGGAACGACCAAGCTTGGAAACATCGTGGACCGAGCACATGCTAGTGACACCCATCAAACCGAAAACGTTCCCGCATTCCGCGATGCCGTTCACCAGACCGCGATCCGCGGCAGACATGATGACCAGATCTCTGATGCCCGTGTTGGATGGGTTACCATATGGTTTGGCGCAAGGCAGCAACCAAAATTTGAACGCCAGATTAATGACGCTTAGTACCGGTGATATTGGATTGACAAACGGACAAATGTCGAAAAGTAGTTTTGCGAGCTTTCATTTGACAGGTAAAGTATAGTGCAGGTTGTCTCAAATAATATTGACCCATTTTTAAAAGATAATAGTTAAAACTGAGTTCACTGGTATTCTCATAACATAATAAAGTAAATTACCAGGGAGGAACATTGCTCATCTAAACATATAACAGACGAGTACTACTTTCCCTGGATAAACCACGAATTTCCTGAGGGTTAGTTTTAGAATATTAACAGGCCTTGGTCAAAGTATTCATCAATAATGTGGTCACCTTAATACAGATCCACAGCAAACGTTTTATCGAAAGCAGATTAGGCAGCTATCCAAATACTCTTTCCGATCCTTCTATTAGAGTAACAATGTCCTGACTAATACCGAATGAACAGGCAACGGCACGGACCGTTACGTCAACCTAACGTTTTTGATAAATCTTTATGGTCTGAGATGGTGATAGTATGTGACGTTACCTATGTATGTGAATGTTACCATCAGAAACCCATTTAATAATATTTTGACGTGACGTTACCGTTCCTTTACGTGACGCTGATGTTCCATATAGTGCAAATTAAGCATAATACTCTTCACAGACTTCTGTTTGAGGACTATAATAATCATTTGAGTTAGGATTTTTTGAACCGACTTCAAAAAAGGAGGAGGTTCTCAATTCATCGGAATATTTTTTTAATGTTTGTTCAGCGATAATTCTTTAACACAGTGTCCGATTTCAATGATTCTTTTTTCTTAGAAAGGCGGTACTTAAGAGATGGTCGCATATGCATTTGGTCAAAATCTAATGATTGGGTCAATGAAAAAATCATCAAACTTCATTTTTATGTATGTTTATCGATAATTCTTTACCATCTTGTGCGATTTCTTTAATTCTTTTTTTTATTTTTGAAATCGGTTTTTTAAAATACTTTAATAGTGGACTGTAAAACGGACAAAAAGGTTTAAATTTTTTCTTTAAGGTACAACCACATGTGGTCTTTACAAAATAATAGTTTAGGTCCCTGGCCATCTGAAATCGGCAATTACAACATTTTTTAATAGGGACAACATTTTTTATTGCGAAATTTGTCAAAAATCTGTCAAAATTATTTTATTACTTTTTCACACATACCTCGCGATATCTCCGGAACTGAAGAAGATATTTTCAACTTTTTCTTTTTAATCGGCAGAAGAAACGTAAGCGGAGATTACTGCGTTAGTTTCATTAGTATAAAAAACCTAGTTTTTTTTTGTAAAACTAGACAAAACTTTAATCTTTACTTTTTTGCAGCACTATTTTCAGTAATCGAGAAACTTTTTTATTTTTCAAAATTTCACTAAACTATCTGCGTACCAAATAAAGCTAAAGCTTCAAGAAAATTTTTAAAACAACAATCACTATTCTAAGTATCATAGTTTTCAAGCAATAGTTACTTGAAGTTAAAAGGTTCCGCACCTCCATGGGCCGCCGCGGCCGTGCAGCTAGCTAAAAATGCTGTTAGCATTATTGTGTGGGCGCCGACTTAATTATACCTGTGACCTGTAAATTGATAAAAGTTCTTAAACATTTAGAGAAAGTTATAGTTTAGTTATTGCTTTAGTTTAGATTAACAATATAAAATTTTATTATTAAAATTATCTTCATCGCACGAATAAACTCTTTTTATAGCAACTTAAATTAAAGATATTTATATTGACCATTATTTGACATTATTTAATAGGCACATCTGATCAAACAAAAACAAGAAAAACTCAAGTCTCTAAAAAAATTGCAAAAACATTAAAAAAAATTATAATACTAATTAAACTAAATAACAAAAAACATATTTTAAAAGTCTTCATCTTCGCAGTCTGATAAAATTTCATAGGTTAGGCTGTTACAACAGTTTGTATATTTACAGTCACTGAAGCATTTTAACCCTTGTGAAATGCAGGTACACTTATTATTGTTGCAATTTTTGTCTGAACATCTTATAGACAAAATTGTTATTACATCATCGGGCACTGGTTATTGAGAAGAAAAATTGGCTTTCCAAATATTTTCTTTTAATGTCCATCCGTATAGAGTCGGATTTTCTAGTGGCATATTTTGAATGTGGCTATTGTATCAAATGTTTAATTGATACAGACACCTAAAACAATAATATATACATATTATAGCTATTTGTAGGTATTTTTATATTATAAAAGCATGGGCGACTTAGAAAAATATTTATTACCTTTTTAAATGTTTTTTAAAAGCATGATCAGTAGGAGGCAACTCAGAAGATGTGCGATTTGAGTCCGTTGTCAGTTACCACCGTAATTGATTCAAGGAAGCTGTCTTACCCTGGGTTTTAGGCTTGACACTTACTGCCTTCGATCATGTATGGACTGTATGACTATGTTCGAAATATGTTACCTGGGGGTGAAGGCCTTATGCTCCACCCTATAGCCTTTGGAGGATGCTCTCGAAGTTCTAGATGATGCACTGATTTTATTCAAATGAAAGTATCACCTTACATTTGAATTTAATATATTCACGGCTTACTGGTTCCACATTTTACATATTTATACTTGGTTACATAAATTATTAACTGATTACATGTTATAACTTTTTAAATCAAATCGCACAAATGCTTTTACTTAAATTTCGGCTTCCTGTCTGCGTTGACAAGATTTTTTGATGTGAGTTGTTCGACTGACAAAATGAAAGTGAAAGTTTTTTCTCCGATACAATCCCGCCAGCCAGCGACGGTTTTACCGCCTTTTTTCTCATTGGCCGTCCCAGGTCGCATGATTGCGTACGTGTTCATATTAACTTGTTTGCGAAGACACAGATGTCTAGCGGTCATTTGAAAGTCAAGCGTGTTTCAAGTTTAGATAATTAGTTTATACAGGGAGTGACTATTCAGTACTTTATTATTTTTGTTTGCTAAAAGCGGAGGTTTATACAGGGAGTGTCTACCTAGTATTTAGCATATAGGACATGTTGAATGTAATTTCAACAGAAGCAATATTTTTGTTTTTGTTTCTATACAAATAAAATATATATTTAGTACTAACTTCCAATGCTTTATCTTGTGATAAAAAGGGAAGATTTTCTAGGTCTTTAAAATCATCAATATTTTTGTATAACACATCAAATGCTGTTCTCTTGCCTATCTTATACATCGCATTTGTTGTGTCGCATCCAGTTAAACAATGAATTGCCAGTAGTTTTTTACACATTTGTGTCCCTAAATTGGCCACAATATTGTTAATAGACAAAAATGTGAATTTTTATCATGTCCTATTTGTTTGTATACATTGCTTTGGGACATATCTGATATTTCACAGTAAAAATGTAAGAGCAAGATCAGGACATCGGTATCAACAGATTTTACCAGAATTGTATTCTCTGCTTTTAGCCTTACTATAACGTGGAGTATCAGTCTTGTGTCAGCTTCTTCTTGATTACTATTTAGTCTTTCCACCTCTTTTGGCCCTGTAATTTTATTTACTTCAAAACAAAGTTGAGGATTTTTAAATCCACCTGCTACAATTACTGTTTCACAGTCATTTAGTAAATTTGGTACTTCTGTCAAAAAATAGTTTGTAATGAATATTAGTAATGATCGTTTATTCGCCGAAGACCTGATAAATTCTCGAAACTTGGGTACTTTTCTAGAACCAGCCACTTTAAATTCACTACTGGAATCACCACGTCTTTGTCGTTCCCCATTTTTTAACGACTTTGGTAAATAGGTATCAAAGACTACTGTAATTCTTTTTGCCCCATGTTTTCTTCCCTCTAGTAAGATTTTAGCAGCAAAGACTTCTCCCAAATCATTAGGCGGGACGCGGAGAGATGTCTGCTCGTTAGAAAGCACAATAATTAAACGCGGCTGCAGAAACTTTCAAGTTTGCGTATTTATTGCTCAAAAACTTTCTTGAAGCTTTAGCTTTATTTGGTACGCAGATAGTTTAGTGAAATTTTGAAAAATAAAAAAGTTTCTCGATTACTGAAAATAGTGCCGCAAAAAAGTAAAGATTAAAGTTTTGTCTAGTTTTACAAAAAAACTAGGTTCTCTATACTAATGAAACCAACGCAGTAATCTCCGCTTACGTTTCTTCTGCCGATTAAAAAAAAAAAGTTGAAAATATCTTGTTTAGTTCCGGAGATATCGCAAGGTATGTGTGAAAAAGTAATAAAACATAATGTTGACAGATTTTTGACAAATTTCGCAATAAAAAATGTTGTCCCCATTAAAAAATGTAATTGCCGATTTGAAATAGCCAGGGACCTAGACTATTATTTTGTAATGACCACATGTAGTTGTACCTTAAAAAAAAATTTAAACCTTTTTGCCCCTTTTTCAGTCCACTATAAATACTTGTGAACTTTATCAACCCCCCTTTTAACTCTCATTTTTGTTCAAATTTTTTTCAGAATCAATAGACTTCATCTTCTTATAGAGCTTGATTTTTACTAAAAATTTGATGTTGATATTGCTTTTCGTTTTTTATTTATGATTTTTTTTTATTTCAACCCACCTTAAACCGTCCATTTTTAATCAGTTTTTCTTCAAAATCAAAGGGCTTCTCTTTCCCTTATAGAGTTTGATTTTTGCTAATAATTTCAAGTTGATATCATTTTTCGTTTTTGAGTTAGGATTTTTTTTTAAATATTTCAACCTTCCATAACCCCCTCAATATTATTCAGATTATTTTAAAAATCAATAAGCTTCGTTCCCTTATAGAACTTGATTTTTCCTGAAATTTTCAAGTAAACCTATAATACTCTTCATAGACTACTGTGTGAAGAGTATAATAATGATTTGTTTGCCTACTAAAACATCCGCTGCTGCAAATACGAGTTTCTCCATTTTTTCATACGATATTACTGGATGGAAGTAAATGTCGCCACACTCCTTGTTCGTGTGTGAACACCTAGTGCTGAGACATCAAATGTCAAATATTGTCATGACATTAGATGCCACAATTTCACAATGTTTAAACCAAAGAAAAGTTGTTGTGTTGACTTATAATTATTATTTAATATTAATAACAGAAACACTTTGAAGGCTGAGATGGTAGTTAACATGTTAAATTATTTTTGTATTGTTAAAAAAATAAATGAAGTCTGGTACTTTCTTAACAGATACAAATTGTAAATAATTTAAAAGTTCATACTGTTATTGCAAAACGCCAGGCGGAATTGACAGCAGTTAAATATAAGCTAAATCCTTCAACCATGTATTAAGATAGACATTTAGAAATAATGTTTTTCAATTTACTGAATTGATTTTCATATTTAACACAGGTTATATTTTAAATTTTAATTTATTACAACTGTAGTAAAAACAATATACAAATGATTATTTTTTTAGGGTTAAAAAACAACAAAAACATGAACACATCGGTGGACCGACTATTTGAGAATGAAAACGACGTTTTCCTTAGTAATAGTTATATGGACTTCCAGCAACACATGCCACCTATACAAGAACTGACTAGCACGCCAAAAAATGCCAATAGCATATTGAGTCAACCGCCGAAATCGAATTCCTGCACTCTAGAACCCAAAGACAGAGAACATTCCGCTGCATTGGGAACAGAAATGTAAATTTCCTTTTTTGTTTACCAAAAATAAAGTTTTCGTTCATTTGATTTATAAGACATCTGTATTCACAAAGCTTTTTTAAATAGTTATCTACGTGTAAATCCTTAAAGCTAGAAACGTCAATGTCAATTCAGAAAAGAAGTAAAGTTGGACGATGATGTGATTTTTGAAATTGTTACTATGATTAGTAAAATTCAAATAAACAAGGTTAATGTTTAACATATTAAATATTGGTTTATATTTTCATGGAAAACATTTATAGTGTAGTGCTAGTCAATCGAAATTATACTTCCTGTGGGGGGCTAAGTGTCACAAGCTTAATTGTTTATTTATTAGACTTATTTTTCAGAGATTCCAAAACCGGAGGTAATCCAAAATTAGACTTTGCAGAAGGACACTATTTTCAAAAAACCAGATATTGGTTCCATTGCATAAAGCGTAACTTTTTCTACAATATGACCGCAAAATCCAAAGTTACGTAAATGTATTATTTTAAGCACTTAAAAAACCATTAGGGCTTACGGCCCAAAAAAACTATTATCTCGGTTTTATCTTAGGAAAAAATTGTACTTTTTATATCTATACTACGAAATTAGCTAAACAGGCTTTGTAAACAAAAAAAGTTACTCCTTATAAAAGTTTCTAAAATGTGTTAAGATCATAACAAAACATCAACCATATTTTTCTATTGATTGATAATCAACTTATAGTATTTAATATAAAAACAATCAATTAAAACAGCACTTACCATCTGGTTTCGCTGTCTGCTTTCTCATCACTTCGTATATCCCATCTCAATTCTATGACTAAACATGTTTCTATTTCGATCGCACGACGATACTACCCCGCGCATGCCGTTCTTAATTTTTTGCTTGATAAATTATAGTTCTGATAATATTTTCTTCAGGGTGTTCAAAATTGTACAGATCCAACTGAGACAGTTTATAGTACTCATCATTTTAGGAAAAAAAAGTTCATATTAACAAGGGTCTGATATCGATCATTTGATCAAAAGTCAAGAGATGTAAAAGTTGGATCAATAATTAAAAAAGCCAAAATAATTTATTTTATTTTGCCAGTGGCGTGCGACTGAAAATTTATTATTTCTGTAAATTTTGAACCCCCTGTAACTTTGCTACTGATCGAGATCAGATTATTGCTAATAGTAACCTTTTTGGTCAAAATCTATAATCGTATCAGGTTTTTTTTTTTTTTTTTTTTTTTTTTCATACAAATTGGGATATCCTGTACAATATAATATATGACTTTTACAATAGGGCTCTCAAATAAATTTAATATTATTAATATTGAAAACAATTAATGTGCCACAAGTAAAATTTGAACAATAAAATATCGAACTGAAAGATCTTTCAACTTAAAATAATTATATGGTAACTTTAGTACCTAATTCGTGAAAATTCTCAGAAATGTTTAACTTGATTTGATAGGGAAGAATATTAATCTTTTTATGTTTCTGTTGCTATTGTTTCTGTTTAAAAAGCTACTATTTGTGTACCATAGAAAGTCGGAGATTTATCGAGAGTCTATTCTAAAATAACTATATTATCTGCAGCAAATTGTGTAAACTTATCTGATAAAAGCTGTCGAGAAACATAGCAATTTTGATTGTCTAAGAATCCTGTTATTTCTTCTTGAGCTATGCTATTTCTTAATCTTAAAACGTCTTTGTATAAAATGGTATGACTACAAGTGTAAAGAGTTTCAATCGGATTTTTGGAGCGAGTCTCCTGATGTATCATAATACCTAGTCCTATATGTTTCGGTGACATTTTTTACCATTAAACCGTTTGTATATAATATCTTGGCATATATTAATAACAGATGTATCTTCTTTGTCTGTATCAATAAATACACTAATTATTCATAAAAGAGCTTCCGGTATCAACTTTCGATATGAACTTATATCTAAATCGGAGTAGTTATCTATGTTTGGAATTTTATCCAACTGAGAATTGATATCGGTGCAAATTTTTATGACCTGAGCTAACTCGGAAGTACCTGTAAACATGGGTGTATAATCTGATGACGAAGCATCTTCTATACAGGGTGTCCCGAAATTAGACGGTCATATTTTAACAGCGTAATATACATCCTAAAATAGGAGTAAAAGTTCATATAAACATAGTTTCGAAAACGTTTCTTTTCCGAGATACAGGGTGTTAAAAGTGTAGTCCTGATGACACACTTTTGTAAATACGAGGGTCATTCAATAAGTAAAGAGACAAATTCTATGATTTTAAAACTATTCAATGAATGTGTACAATCTTTTCAGGGGTGTTAGTTGGCAACCTTGGGATATGCTCCGATCAGCTGTTTCATCATTTTATGTCAACATAACCTCAAAATTTTCAATTCACCATGGCAAGTCCACTAGAAGATTGCACCTTAGAAGAGCAACGAAGTTTGATTGAAGGAGACGCTTTTTTTGAAAGAATAGTGACCAGCGACGAGGTCTGGATCCATCACTACGACCCTGAGACCAAAAGGCAGAGTATGGAGTGGAAACACACTAGCTCTCCGGTTCGCAAAAAATTCAAGGTTCAACCTTCCGCCGGTAAAGTGATGCTGACCATCTTTTGAGACTCACAGGGTCCAGTCTATTGCGATTTCCTTGAAGATCAGCGAACTATCAATAGCCAATACTACTCTGAAATGCATAACTGTGGGGGGTGATTATGTTGAAAAATAGCCTTAATTTTGAAAGATAGAAATAATCCGGTTTTGAGCTATAGCCATTTGTCTCTTTACTTATTGAATGACCCTCGCATTTTCTAAACGTTTAAAGATAACTAAGTGAAATTTGATACACATGCTAACATTTTTACGATCTATTTAATGGACTAAACCCCAGTGTTTGATCATCTTCATAGGTGGGTAAATTAGGGGGCTTAGGATAAAAGTTTTTTTTTGTTGACAGTTTTTAAATTATTTAACTATAAAATTTGAAAAACCAATATTTTCTTTATAATAAAGCTACTTTTGTTGAATCTCGCTAGGACGCACCATTTTCAAGAGAAAAGCATTTGAAAATTTCATGATAAGTTGATGTTATCTTATTCGAAAGTGTAAACAATAATTAGTAGGCCTGTGGAATCAGAAATTTTATTTTTTTTTTAACTTTGGAAAACCGGTAACCAAAGAAATTTTAGAAAATATTTACAGGACTTTTCTTGTAACACCCTGTATCTCGAAAACGAAACGTTTTCGGACCTATGTTTATATGAACTTTTACTCCTGTTTAAAATATGACCGTCTAATTTCGGGACACCCTGTATATGCGTGAACGGTTTCAGATCGATCAATAGGAGGCAAAACAACTGAAGGTGCGTTTGCCTTTTTGGACCCAATGACATATATAGTTTAAATAGACTGCTTATCCATACGTAAATAAAACGATGAAAAGCGGGTCGAACTGGGAGATGTTTTCTCTTTGTCTAGTGCATGCAATGTTTGTGTTTTGTCTCAATTTTGAGTGCTCACTGGTAAACAAACCTTTCACAGGACCGGTTTTAAAGAAAGTTTAGTCTAGTTGAGATTTTGTTCTCATTGTCATTACTCAGTCGGACATTTTGTTGAATTGTTTATTTTATTTAGTTTTAATTATACTTATGTTCTGTTTTAAGTTTTTTAATTATTTGAGTATAAAAACTTGTTTTGTTTTTAAATTTAAATGGTGAATTGCTCTATAAAGGGTTGTAAGACCAGCTACAGAAATATAAAAAGTAACATTTCATTTTTCACGCAAGTATCAATACAAGTAGGTACAAGGTAAATACGTTTATAATAATTTTATGAATTATAATTAATTATAATAATAATATTAATAATAAAGTATTTATTGTAAATACAATTACATAAATATTATTATATTCAAAGGCCCGAGTTAGAGCTATCTGGGCTTTACAAGTACATTTTAAAAGTTAGTTAGATACAGAGAAGTATCGTATAATAAAAACTCAATATAAATAGAAGAAAAACGGACATAAGTACCAATACGGAGAGACAAACACTTTTATTTTTTGATAGGTTCTTTCTATGTGAATTCTAGCTCTGGCAATTTTGGCATTAAGTAAAGCCTCTTGATGGCTGAACTGATTTTTTTTATTGAGGAAAGGAGGCTGTATAATTTGTATACCTTCAGCTTCTATTGTTTCCAATAAGAAAACCTTTGTTAAACATTTTGTTAAAAAATGTATATTTCTGAAGTTCTACCACCATATGCTTCACTTTTGTAAGTAATGAGACCAGTAGGTGACACTTCAGTCAATATTTTAATAGTATGCCTCTTTTTGTAGTCAGAGTAATTTTTTAGCCTACAACAAAGACATTTGGCTTGCTGTATTGGGATTTCGATACAATCAAGTAGTAGTCTTACTTACATAGAGGCACAATATTTAATATTTCTTGTTTTGAAGGCCGAATTATACCATACTAAGAACTTCTACCAGTTTTATTAAAAACTGTTAAAAAATTTAATGATAAAAAGTTTCATTCACTCCAAATAAAATGGATAAAACATTATATCTTGCATATCAGTTTTCAACTTCATAAAAGTAAATATAACTTGATCCTTTACAGACATAACTGATCTCCTTTTTCCTATTCTTTAGAAACAACTCTGCCACTAATTCCACATTGGTGGCTAATAACTGGAAGGATTGCAATCCTATTAAAGTAGATAGTTCTTTAGCACTAACAATTCTGTTTGAAAACGGATCAACTAAATCACCACTCTTCACTTGTGTTGAACAATCGATCCCAATTTTCTGCTTTTAAACAAAGTTTTGTAAATTAAGCAAAGCTCTTCAGCAGCACACAAATCTTCATTATCTGCTTCAGTAGTAGATATATGTTCATTAACTGCAAAAAAAAACATTAAAAAAAACACATTAAACATAATAATTATAAGGGGGGTGGGTGGCTCAGTGGTAGAGTCTCTGCCTGTGGATCCAAGGGTCCCAGGTTCGAATCCCACCGT